TATTATATTCATTTTGTTGATTTTTATTATTATTATTTTTTATGATTAATGGTAATTAAAATTAAATAATCTCTCTCTCTCTCTCTCTCTATATTAATTTTTGTCATAGGAATTACTCAGTATTTCCTCAGCTCGCCCTACATATATATTCTGGTTTAGGTAGGCTTTACTGTGGCTACATTTTGCGAGCACTGACGACCTTCATCACATACATATGTATATGACGAAGAGTCCGCAAATTTGTTATGTATTATGCCCTACGTCAATATTTCCCTTTTAGTTTTTCAGAGTTTTACATTTTTAACGTTTGGCATGTAAATATGTATGTGAGAAAAGTTGATATTATTAATTCGTTTTCATAAATTACTTTATATATTTAAAAAAAAATACAATATATTTAAATATCTCTAAAAATATTTTGATTTATTTTTTATTTATTATTATTATTATTATTATTAGTATTAAAATTGATTAAAAATGCTTTAACTAACCCTCAAATATATTTCAAATTTATAAATGTTGATGAAGTGGTGAGTTTTTCTTTAGTTAGAATGTTTATAGAAATGCTTTAAAAATATGATTGCAGTTTTTTGTTATTATTATTTTCTTTTATTTATTTGTTTTTAATATTATTATTATTATTATTTTTTTTTTTTGACTGGAGATGAAGTTTACTAAAATAAAAATGCTAAAATACTTACTTAAAGTTGTAATCTATTCTAAATTAAGTCATTTATAATATTAATGCATTAAATGCATACATAAACCATATTCGATAAATATTTAGAAAGTGTATAAACGTATTCGGTTTGGTTAGCAACCATCCTTTCGAACAAGCTGTCTTCACTTTTGCAGCTGGTAACAGCGAACGTTGAACCTTCATTGATTTGCCACAGACACAGCTAGTGTGTGCATGTGTCGGTGTGCGTGTCTGTGTGTGTCTGTGTTTGAAAAATGAGACTGCGCAGGAGCCAACCTAACCTAGGTGCCTTGCCTTTTGGTTGTCGTAGGTCCTGAACACGCAACGCCACAAAACAAAAACAAAATGGTCAACTGTTTCCGACAACCACTTTGCCACACTCGCACACTCACACACACACTCACACACAGACAGACGGGTGCATAGCATACACCTACACACATACACATATGCATGTATGTATATCTGTATGTGTGTACATGCAAATATATAAATGCAGCACCTTAGCGGCTACAATGTAATCACAAAACCATTGAAACGCTATTGATTGACCTAAAAAACAATCTAACTGTGCGCTAACACTTTAACACAGCAACTCTTAACAGATTTTGACCCGGTTGCCACACTGCCAGCACCGTGCTCAATCCCATTTCCTATTCGATTTCCTTGCTCAATTTGGAAAGTTTAGCAAATCATAAAAGGACATTCAATAATCAGAAGGAGGCGTGGTTATTCCTATAAAGTA